CTGGTTTCCATGTGATGGTCACGCTGTGCATCTCTTTTGACCATTAATCTTGATTACTTGCCCCCAAAATTGACAATCTCCTTGGAATTGTCAATAAGTGTTCTTTTGTTTAAATGCTGTGAGCTACTCAAAGCTGCTAGTTGGTTCAGGCTTGTGGCGCCAGGATCTGATTTACGATCAGGTTATTTAGGTACAGGTGGTAAAGTTCAATTAGTCAAAGTAGTTTAGTAAACTGAATGTTTTAGTTCAATCTGGAAATTGTTCTAATTTGGTTCCGTACGTTGATTCGTCAATCAAATTTTGCGGAAAACTTTGTTTGGTTCTTCTAGGTTGTCAATTTAAAATGTTTACCGTTAATTTTCTAGTAACATCATTTGCAATGAAATGACTTGACCTATCGTACATGGAGCTCTCTGGCTTCCATTCCGTTTAGAGTGGCTGGCGGATATTAGGTGTGGTGAGTCAATCCTAGTATCAGAACTTTGACTCTTGCAGGGTGTCTAGGTGTTTCACCTACTAAGGAAAGAGGGGAAAGAAAAGGATAGGTAAAAGAAGAACAAACAAAAACAAAGCTGCTGTGGGTTTTCCTAGCATGGCTTACAACTACTGTTGAGTTAGGATGTCATGTGCAGCTAGTGTGTCATGTACCTTAACTGTACGGGGGTTCCCTTTGTTGTGGTCCTTGCAGAACAGGGAGTTTCTGATTGACTGGAAGTTCAGTCTTGGGAAGCCAGTGGTTGGGCGTTGGCTGACGACGCGGAGCTGTGGTCTGGTTAAAATTTTAGACGGCACTCTTTCTGAGACACAGCGTTAGGCAAAACTTAACTCGTAACACGAAACTCTCAACGGAAAATAAAATAAACTAAAGTAAAGAAACAGAAGTAAAGTTTGACGAGACTAGGTGGCGTTTCTCCTCATGGTTTTGGAGGAGCTGAAGTGTAAGCCAGAGCACGCTCAAAGAGCGCAAAAGGTGATGACTGAAAAGCACGGCTCGAAAAGGCAAGAAGGAAGAGCATGATTCGATGGTGTCCTGAGTATTTAAACTGGGTTTTTGGCCACATCCCAAATGGTGTTTTGACCAATTAGACGCTGTCTTTGCTAGGGGTGTTGTATATTTCTCCTCTCAATTCATAAATCAAATGTTATCTTATCAGTCACATGGTCCGAGTTTTTCCCGCTCTTGCAGAGTATAATTTTGGACATGATTTCTATAACAAGAATATGATACATTTGACGAAGAATTGATTGGAAGAAACGTTTCAAGCAAGAAGATTCAAACACACGCATACTAAACATGAATATGACTAGTTTGGCATGGCTGTGTGAAGCTGGGGTGCAAACTTTGTCTCCTATGTTGCATTTCTCTTGTGATGCCTTCTGGTTGTGGCAGACTTTCTGACCTTCTGTGCTTGGGTGGTTGCTGTTGCACAGACAGGAATGTGGTTCTTGGAGTTGATTTGACAGTTTGTTATTGAGCGATGGGTGACTGAGGTGATGTTCTTTGGTACCTCAGAGTTTCATCAACAGTTGGCCGTGAGAGACTTGCTCGTTCTGGGTGGTTGTTGAACAAGTGCTTGTCATCTCTGATGTGGTGTACCAGATGATCACCAGCCTTCCGTTCTGTCGCTGGTCACAGCAAGTATGACTCAACTTTGTGGTCATCCATGTTCAGCTTTCCTTGAAGGAACTCTTTCATTTGTCTCATGACTTGTTCCATGTCGTCTGAGGGTAAGCTGTCTTGTTCTTCTGCATACTCAGCACTGTGCATGTCTGAGTGGTGCTGAGGTGGGTTTTGTTGTCGCTTACTCACACGAGTTGCTCTTGGATGAGTCAGGCGATTACCTTTGGATGTCTGGTTAGGTTTCCAGTTGTTCCTATCTTTTGGGTTTCTTGAGAAGCGTGGCTGTTCCCATGGATTTTTCCAGCGGCTGGGCTGAAAGCTGTCGTGGACATGGGGGTCACGTTCTCTGTGCTCTTGATGGAAGACTCTGGTGTCGTGATGCCACTGGGTGTATTAAGACCTGATAGTCTGATGTGTGGGTTACATACATGATATGGAGTTATGCATCGAAATGATTAGTTGATCACAAGTCCTTTTAGTGTCATTTAGATGCATATTTACTGTACATGGAAATGCAGTTTCTGTGCCATTCTCTGAACATAAGGACATGTTCTGTGAAGACCAGAGGTTAAAAGGTCTCTCATAAGGAATTTCAGTCTGTTCTCTGTCGTCGAGGTGGGGGGAAGTCAATCCAAAGAGCTTGTGATTGCTATCGCTGGTTTCCATGTGATGGTCACGCTGTGCATCTCTTTTGACCATTAATCTTGATTACTTGCCCCCAAAATTGACAATCTCCTTGGAATTGTCAATAAGTGTTCTTTTGTTTAAATGCTGTGAGCTACTCAAAGCTGCTAGTTGGTTCAGGCTTGTCTGTCTTGTTCTTGTGCATACTCAGCACTGTGCATGTCTGAGTGGTGCTGAGGTGAGTTTTGTTGTTGCTTACCCACACGAGTTGCTCTTGGATGAGTCAGGCGATTACCTTTGGATGTTTGGTTAAGTTTCCAGAAGTTCTTATATTTTGGGTTTCTTGAGAAGCGTGGCTGGTCCCATGGATTTTTCCAGCGGTTAGACTGAAAGCTGTCTTGGACATGGGTGTCACGTTCTCTCTGCTCTTGATGGAAGACTCTGGTGTCGTGATGCCACTGGGTGTTGTCCAGTGCAAGGCCTGAGTCTTTGGTGACAGAGTTCAAGAGTGTGGATGTTTTGTTACCTCTCTTTGAGGCCATCTTCTGCTTGTTGAGCTGCTAGTGACATCAGGCTTGTGGCGCCAGGATCTGATTTACGATCAGGTTATTTAGGTACAGGTGGTAAAGTTCAATTAGTCAAAGTAGTTTAGTAAACTGAATGTTTTAGTTCAATCTGGAAATTGTTCTAATTTGGTTCCGTACGTTGATTCGTCAATCAAATTTTGCGGAAAACTTTGTTTGGTTCTTCTAGGTTGTCAATTTAAAATGTTTACCGTTAATTTTCTAGTAACATCATTTGCAATGAAATGACTTGACCTATCGTACATGGAGCTCTCTGGCTTCCATTCCGTTTAGAGTGACTGGCGGATATTAGGTGTGGTGAGTCAATCCTAGTATCAGAACTTTGACTCTTGCAGGGTGTCTAGGTGTTTCACCTACTAAGGAAAGAGGGGAAAGAAAAGGATAGGTAAAAGAAGAACAAACAAAAACAAAGCTGCTGTGGGTTTTCCTAGCATGGCTTACAACTACTGTTGAGTTAGGATGTCATGTGCAGCTAGTGTGTCATGTACCTTAACTTAGTGTCAGGTGTTCGACCTATTGTGAGGATGGCTGCATGTTTCTTCATGGTGGGCATATGTAACTTTATGTTACGGTAAAATTTGGATATCCTACTTGTGGGAAGAAAATGTTTGTTGAATGTGTTATCAGTAGATGTGGTTACCTCTGGGTGTAGGTAATGTTGTGTGTGTGTTAATGGTGTAGTGTATGTGTGGTCAGATCTGTTTCAGTCTGTGTTGTCTCTCCCCTTTTCTTGTATGTCAGTGAAGACGGGCTCTCTGCATCCTTGGCGTGGATGAGGGCGTGTCCATGATCTAATGGGGGTCAGTCCAGCAAGGCAGGAAGTTCTTTAGCAGACAGTCAGAGCTAGTTTGGCATGGCTGTGTGAAGCTGGGGTGCAAACTTTGTCTCCTATGTTGCATTTCTCTTGTGATGCCTTCTGGTTGTGGCAGACTTTCTGACCTTCTGTGCTTGGGTGGGTGCTGTTGCACAGACAGGAATGTGGTTCTTGGAGTTGATTTGACAGTTTGTTATTGAGCGATGGGTGACTGAGGTGATGTTCTTTGGTACCTCAGAGTTTCATCAACAGTTGGCCGTGAGAGACTTGCTCGTTCTGGGTGGTTGTTGAACAGGTGCTTGTCATCTCTGATGGGGTGTACCAGGTGATCACCGGCCTTCCGTTCTGTCGCTGGTCACAGCGAGCATGACTCAACTTTGTGGTCATCCATGTTCAGCTTTTCTTGAAGGAACTCTTTCATTTGTCTCATGACTTGTTCCATGTCGTCTGAGGATAAGCTGTCTTGCTCTTCTGCATACTCAGCACTGTGCATGTCTGAGTGGTGCTGAGGTGGGTTTTGCTGTCGCTTACTCACACGAGTTGCTCTTGGATGAGTCAGGCGATTACCTTTGGATGTCTGGTTAGGTTTCCAGTTGTTCCTATCTTTTGGGTTTCTTGAGAAGCGTGGCTGTTCCCATGGATTTTTCCAGCGGCTGGGCTGAAAGCTGTCGTGGACATGGGGGTCACGTTCTCTGTGCTCTTGATGGAAGACTCTGGTGTCGTGATGCCACTGGGTGTCGTCCAGTGCAAGGCTTGAGTCTTTGGTTACAGAGTTCAAGAGTGTGGATGTTTTGTTACCTTTCTTTGAGGCCATCTTCTGCTTGTTGTAGGCCTTCTGTGTTAGGTCACGCAACTGTTGGATGGTCATGGAGCGTGGACAGGCCATGACGCCTAGATGATGGCTGACTCCAGGGTGCAGGTTTCTTAGGAAGAGGCTTTTGAAGTTCACATCCTCTTCAAGGTCAGGTTCGTTGTGTGCACCAAAGTAGGCTTGTCGGAGTCGGTTGTAGTAAGCTTGTGGAACCTCTTGTCGACCTTGCTTGATCTCCAAAGCAGTTAACAGTCCAAGTTCAGACTCAGGGTCTGTAAACTCTTTAATAAGGACCTCACGAAGTAGCTGGTAGCTTGACTTTGTTTGACTGGGCTGTCGATCTAGGAAGTTTCGTACCTCAGGACTTGATGTGGCTCTTAGGAGGTATAACCTGTCTCTGTCAGTCACCGCTGTGCATCTCTTTTGACCATTAATCTTGATTACTTGCCCCCAAAATTGACAATCTCCTTGGAATTGTCAATAAGTGTTCTTTTGTTTAAATGCTGTGAGCTACTCAAAGCTGCTAGTTGGTTCAGGCTTGTGGCGCCAGGATCTGATTTACGATCAGGTTATTTAGGTACAGGTGGTAAAGTTCAATTAGTCAAAGTAGTTTAGTAAACTGAATGTTTTAGTTCAATCTGGAAATTGTTCTAATTTGGTTCCGTACGTTGATTCGTCAATCAAATTTTGCGGAAAACTTTGTTTGGTTCTTCTAGGTTGTCAATTTAAAATGTTTACCGTTAATTTTCTAGTAACATCATTTGCAATGAAATGACTTGACCTATCGTACATGGAGCTCTCTGGCTTCCATTCCGTTTAGAGTGACTGGCGGATATTAGGTGTGGTGAGTCAATCCTAGTATCAGAACTTTGACTCTTGCAGGGTGTCTAGGTGTTTCACCTACTAAGGAAAGAGGGGAAAGAAAAGGATAGGTAAAAGAAGAACAAACAAAAACAAAGCTGCTGTGGGTTTTCCTAGCATGGCTTACAACTACTGTTGAGTTAGGATGTCATGTGCAGCTAGTGTGTCATGTACCTTAACTTAGTGTCAGGTGTTCGACCTATTGTGAGGATGGCTGCATGTTTCTTCATGGTGGGCATATGTAACTTTATGTTATGCTAAAAATTGGATATTCTACTTGTGGGAAGAATATGTTTGTTGAATGTATTATCAGTAGATGTGGTTACCTCTGGGTGTAGGTAATGTTGTGTGTGTGTTAATGGTGTAGTGTATGTGTGGTCAGATCTGTTTCAGTCTGTGTTGTCTCTCCCGACAGGCCATGATGCCAAGATGGTGGCTGACTCCAGGGTGCAGATTTCTCAGAAAGAGGCTTTTGAAGTTCACATCCTCTTCAAGGTTAGGTTCGTTGTGTGCACCAAAGTAGGCTTGTCGGAGTCGGCTGTAGTAAGCTTGTGGAACCTCTTGTCGACCTTGTTTGATCTCCAAGGCAGTTAACAGTCCATGTTCAGACTCAGGGTCTGTAAATTCTTTAATCAGGACCTCACAAAGTAGCTGGTAGCTTGACTTTGTTTGACTGGGCTGTCAATCTAGGAAGTTTCATACCTCAGGACTTGACGTGGCTCTTAGGAGGTATAACCTGTCTCTGTCAGTCACATGAGGTCTCATTTCCAGATGAAATTCGATATCTTGCAGCTAAGCCTGAATGTCGTGGCCCTCTGCAGAGTTTGGGTTGAAACTGCTGATG